CATTTAGCAACTTGTTAGCAACCGTCTTTTTTTAAGAAACGTAACAGTTGGGGTGTAACTGGTGTGTTTTATGTCGCAGAATAAAATGTGAAAGTATCTTGAGCTTGTGTGAACCACAGACCTTATTTTAGGGGATTTAACCAAACTCCCATTCAAAAAAACTACTGACTATGGGACGAAGGAACCGGAAGTGCTAAAATGCTAACTCGCTTCTGGGTTTTTGCCTACAAAGTGACGTCATAGTTCCCCCACTCTATATACAGACAAAAGTTGCAAGGCCTTCTGGGTAGTTGCCAGCACAACAATACAAATTAAAAACTTTATTTTAATCTTTGTGAGAGTGTAAAACAATAATGACCAGATCAGTGAATGACAAAGAGCATTTTAGGTTAAAGAAGAAAAAAAAAGGTTATCCAGGTGTGTTTTTATTGATCCACAGAGTTTCAAATATTAACATTTTATTTTTTTTATCTTATTATAGCCTCTAAATGACAAGTAACAGATATAAGTAAGATACAAATCAACCTCTACCTTTTATTCATTTACCTTATTTATCTCACCTCAAGTTATTTATCAGGAAGGGCAAAACCCTGCAAAAACACAGGTGTAAAAGTTCTTACAGAATTTGAACACATTCAGTCCACTTCCATTTTCACCTCCACAGATTTATTTTCTTATTCTTCATCTTCTTTTTCAGATTCATCAACTAGCAAACTTTCAATGATTTTCTCAGCTTCATCAAGGGAAGAGCAGTTTTCTCCATTTGCAAGGTTTACCTTTGGATCCAATTTACAACAACTGAGGTTTGCCTTCAGCTTTCTTTTAGGGAAGGTCAGGACCTTAGTGATGTGAAAGACAAGGCTAACATGATCCCACACATAAAACTCTTGGTACTTTTTTTCAAGTGTTTCTGTCAGAACACCGTTTTCCATTTTTACTAGTTTGCATTTGTGAGTTTCACAAATGGCTTGGGCTGTCCAGATAATTTGATGTCCATCATAAGCAACTAATGGGCTGGATGTTAGCAGAGGAAAATCTCTGAACTTCTCATTGAACTCAGGGCTGTGAACAAGAACAACATACTCAATCTCCTGCTTGAAAAGTTTGGTCTCATATATCCGGAGAACTGGCTCTTGACCTTCACATGTCTGCTTCTTGTAGACTTCCATCAGTTCAGTCAGAGGAAATGTGAAGCGGAAGTTGCCGTAGCGTGAGAATTCATTGAGGAACAAGGGTGATGTGGTGAAATCACTCAGAAATGGCGGATGAGCTGTTTTTTCTTCTTTGGTTATGTCTGGGAACAATTTCTCGAGGTAACGCTCCTCTGCTGCACTTATATCCGCTTCATTAATCTTCAGACTCCACCATGATAACGAATCTTTACCAAATCCCTTGAATCCCTTGAATCCCCCTGATTTCCAGATCAATGGACGTCTAGTCTTGTTAGTGACATGAGCCACTTCTGTGATGTGAAACTCAACAGGAGAAGGATACTCATGGATGTCTTTTGAAAGATAACGGAACATTGTTTCTCCTGTTATGTCATTTTTCATTTTCAGATCCTTTATTGCAATGAATTTTCTTTCAAAGACTAACTCTTTTGCTTTGCGAGCATTTTTTCTTGGACTGAAGTTTGCCTGGAAGATAATGTACAGTTAATAGAGGTACATTTTCTAGTAAGATATTCATATACAGTGCACAAATACACACTATACACATGGACAATAAACACTGAACACACAAAGTAAAGGACATTTAGGGAGAATTATACTAATAGTATCCACAATAATGTTGATAGTCATGTAATCAAATAATGAAGTAATAACGTGTCATGCAGAAAGGATTTAAGTATACTGTCATACAGTACAGCAAACATGTTGGCTAATAATTTACAAACATTACACCAGTTTTTGAATTTGTTAGTTCTAGCTAAAACTTTGTTAACATTTTTAAATGTAAATGAAATTGTAAAAAATTGCCATTTTGGCCATTTGTTTGTGTACCTAGTAGTTTAAAAAGAAGGAGCATGTACAAAATATATTTACTTACTGAAACTATTTTGTTGTAAACTGCTGTTATATTGAACTATTTTCATATTCATATTTATCAGAATGCTGCAATACTGTAAACATATGACAGCTGGGTGCATTAAAAATTATACAATATATTCAGCACATTTTGGTTCGCACTATATCATAATTTTTGTTCGTCAGGAGTTTGATATTGAAAGTAAAGAATTGTCTACTTACTGCGTTTTCCATTGTTAGAGGTTTATGTTCTCGAGAAAAGTCTAATGTTCTTCTGCTGTTTCTTGTGAAAACTGGAAGATCCTTCCTCTGCTGTTTTTTAAAAGGCATTTCCTCTAACCACTGCCACGCCTGTGAGGGGTTTTTCTTTAGAAACAAAACTTGTCTTTACACAGGAAACATTGCTGAATCTACACATAGGAGCCTGATAAAAATGCTCATTTTAGAAGAACATTTTAAACAGCACTTACAGGCTTTTGCATCTAAACTGTCAAAATAATGTATCACAAAACAAGCTCAACAAACTGCAGGAAACAGGTTAAAATTTGCACACTTTTTTGTATGCTTTTTTATGTTTTGTTTACTGTGTTAGCAAAATACAGTGTAAAAAATACTCTTTGAGAGAAGCAGTCAATCAGCGGAAGTTAAAAGCAGATCGTAAGTCTATTTATTTCTTGTCTCATTAGTGCTTAGTGCAGTTGTCGTTGCTAGGAAACGCTTGTTTTGTTTACTGTGTGGAGATGTGCTGAAGTTGCGTTTGGTCTCGTACTGAATCGCATACCTTGTCAGTGTCGTGCACTTGCTTAGCCCTTTGTTGTGAGAAACAGTAAAGAGTGTTCATCTGAATTCAATTTCTGTTTTGTCTAACGGGTATAAAAAAGGTTAGTATACCACGGCAGCGCTCGTGGCAGCCCTCGTGTGAAGACCGAAGAGTGTAAAGACCATTGACTCTACTGTGCTACTCCACAGTGCAGGGACACTGGCAAGGGACATAAGTATCGCTTTTTACTCATCCTCTTTTCTACACCTTGCTTTACTTCTGTTTCAGTTTTTATGACCAACTCTTACTATGTGTTTCCATATCCCTACTATTACTACCATTTACAAACCACGCATCACACACTATAGCCAGCGCAATCCTAACAACCTGCGCACTTTGCCTATGTCTGCTAACACACTACTTTTTTGTCTATTGATCTCTGGAATTGCCAGTCTGCTGTAAACAAAGCAGATTTCATTACATCTATTACTAGCCATTCAAGACTAAACCTCATAGCCCTGACAGAGACGTGGATCAAATGAGAGGACACTGCTACTCATGCAGCACTCTCCAATAATTTTTTATTTTCCCACAATCCCCGTCTGACTGGAGGTACCTCAGGTGGAGGTACTGGTCTGCTTATCTCTAATGATTGGAAATGTATTCCTTTACCTTCTTTAGGTATTAACAGCTCCTTTGAATCACATTCATTAACTATTATCCACCCTTTTAAAATCCATTTTGTAGTTTTTTATAAACCCACAGGACCACAAGGTAACTTCTTGGATGAATCAGATGTGCTGCTCTAAACCTTTCCTGCGGATGGTACTCCCCTAGTTATGCTTTGAGACTTCCATATCAACCTAGATAAACCTCAGGCTGCAGAATTCCACACTCTGCTTGCCTCTTTTGATCTCAAGAGAGTGTTAACTACGGCTACTCACAAATCAAGCAACCAACTGGACCTTATTTACACACGACACTGCTCCACTGATCATGTGCTGCTGAAAGGGTGTGGCGCAAATCCAAAAATCCTATTGACCCTAATGTGTATCAGTCACTCCTTTCTTCCTTCTCTGCTAATGTCTCCACTGCTAAAAGGACATATTATCCAGACCGATTTCCCTTCTTCCGTTCATTGCAAAAACACTTGAACAAAGTGTGTTCAACCACGTTTCTGCGTTTCTCACACAGAACAACCTCCTCGACAGCAACCAGTCTGGTTTCAGAAGTGCCTACTACTTGTCCGCTTGATCCTATTCCATATCATCTCCTTCAACCATTTCTCATGCAGTTGTACCTGCACTCACTCACATCATTAACACATCCCTTCACACTGGTCTTTATTAAAAAAAAAAAAAAAACACTCGCCCCTTTAAGACTTGCACTCTATTTATTTACAAACTACTTGTTTTCTTAAAGGGGTCATATGATGCGATTTCAAGTTTCCCTTTCTCTTTATTTGAAAAATAATGTTTTTTTAACATTAAAGCATGTCAGCTTATTCTGTTACACTGTAGGAGCCATACTTACTATCTTATTTAATTTGTCTATATGTTCACTTATATATTAGTTTGCTGCTATATTGTTAATGTTGTTTATTTCTCTGAGTGTGTGCCCTCTATAGGTGTGAAGGGAAAAATGTTTAAAAGGATATGCCACCCCTGACAGGAGGGGGGCGCTGGTGCGAGAGCATACAGTCTTTCGACCGTGCGCATGGAGCTAAGATGGCATGGTGCAACAAGCCTGCAATTAGCCTTTCAGTTGTTTGTTTGTTTTATGTTGCAATTCAAGTTAATTTTGGTTTAATAAACTTCAGTTATTGTTTGGAACTTCAACAAGCCTTTCTGGATCTATTTATGGTGCTTTGCACGCGTCGAAATATTGCATCAACACCTCCCACAGTGGCCAAGAAACAAGGGACAAAATTGGAAAGTTGAAGCTTGTTTTTACCACTACAGTATGTCGAAAGACTTTGCTTCGAAAATGGAACTTGTTTGAGAAGAGGATTAATTTTGTACTTGATTGGAACGTTTGAGACCGCATGGCATTGGAGACAGCAAACAAAGGAAACTTCTCAAAGAGGTATGTGCTTGAGTATGCAGTTTGCTGAGCTAATACTGAGTTAAATTCAAAGATCTTTATGTGTATAATTTTTAAAGAAGAATCAAAGGAAATTTGAAAAAGTTTTGTCTTGGAAAGAGGATATTTGCTTGTTTGAGGCAAAATGGAGGAGTCTGATGTAGAACAATCCCCAAGCTCAGCTCAGAAGGACTTGAATGAGCAGGCAAGATGGCACATCTTACAATGTGAATGAATATTGTTAATTCTTTGATGGCTGATGTTGTATGTTTGGAAGAAGTAAAGGGGAACATGTTAAAGTTCAGTAAACAGCTTGTTGAATTCAAGTCTCTTCAAGAATCCTATGTTCAAGTGTTAAGAGAAGAGGATAAAGCTGAAGACTTGAAAACCTGGTATGAACCAAGAATGAAGCAGGTTGATATGTTTATTTCTACTGTTGAAAGGTGGATGTCTACTGTTCAAGAACCTGACTCTCAAGCCAGTACTCAACTTTCTTCTGCTCTAAAAGTCATTGATCAAGTAAATTTTGAGGAAACTCAACATTACTGGAAGAAAGACTAACATTCTTCTTCAAACGATGAGCCAGGATAAGTCTGTGCCTTCTTATATTGTCAGTGGGTTGGAAGTTTCTTCACTGGAAGAAAATGACTTTATTCCATTGCCTGAAATCTACACACAACAGAGCATGCCCGTTGACACCTCTAACATTCCCACAAAGAAAGAACTGTCTAAATGGCCTTATGCCGAGTTCACACTGCACGATTTTCAAACTCGTCGGATCGCCGTTGTTTTTACACTGCGTGACTATCTGGGGTAGCATTCAGTTGCTCATTTCTCTGATGCCAGGGAGCAAGGATATGGCACAGTGAGTTACCTGAGACTGACTGATGATATGCACACTGTACATGTGTCTTTCGTGTTGGGAAAAGCCAGGGTTGCTCCGCTTAAACAAGTGACCATTCCACGTCTAGAACTGACAGCTGCAGTGTTAGCAGTCAGAGTGGATGTTATGCTAAGGAAAGCATTGGAGCTAGATCTCAAAAGCTCAACATTTTGGACTGATAGTCAGTCAGTACTGAAATACATCGCAAATGAGAATGCACGATTCCGCACATATGTCGCAAATAGGATCTCTGTTATCAGAGAAAACACTGATGTAGCACAATGGAAATTTATCAGAACCAAGCAGAACCCAGCAGACTTGGCATCAAGAGGGGTGAGTGCCAGCACATTGGTAAAGTGCAGAGAGTGGATCCATGGACCAGACTTTCTATGGAAGAAAGAAGAGGAATGGCCTAAAGAGTCCCTGGTAACTGTGTCACTCTCACCTGATGATGTTGAAGTTAAAAGAAACACCACTGTGTACAGTATTGTCCTTAAAGTCAAGGAAAATCCTACCAGCCAACTGCTTAACTCCTTTTCAAGTTGGACAAAGCTAAAGATAGCAGTAGCATGGTTCTTAAAGTTCAAGAATGTCCTTCGATTGCTTAGTGCAAAAAGGAAAGAAATCCAGGTAGCCTGCGTGAATAAGGACACCAAGAACCCAAACAAGGTATGTGACAAATTGAAAGCATTCAAGACATCACTTGGAGCACAATCCATAAGCTTGGATGATCTCTTGAAAGCAGAAAAGGCTATTGTCGAGTTTTACCAGAAACAAAGGTATGCAGAAGAAATGTCAAGAATTGAAAAGGCATCAGTTGTTGGAAATTCCTTGAATCGGTTTAGCAGCTTGTACAAGCTAGATCCTGTGATGGATGATGGCGTTTTAAGGGTTGGAGGAAGGTTAAACAAGTCTGCAATGCCTGAGGAGACAAAGCGACCAATAATACTCCCAAAAGATCTTCACATCTCAACGCTTATCCTTCAGCACATACATGAGCAGCTCGGACATGCTGGCAGAAATCATGTTCTCTCACAACTGAGAAAGAAATATTGGATTATAAATGCCAATTCTGCAGCCCGCAAAGTTCTATCTAGATGTGTGGTGTGTAAGCGTGTAAGGGGAAAAATTGCAGAGCAGAAGATGGCAGACCTACCTAAGGAAAGACTACAAGCTGATCTTCCACCTTTTTGCAATG